GCGAAGGAGTGTTTGTATTTGAGGGATTGCATGTGAAGGGAGGTCAGAGGTAGGTGAAGTAGGAGAGGTGCTGGGTAAAACTTGTAAATTGAATAAGGCAGCACCGGCATGGGTTTGGACCAATTGTTTTAGCTGGTTAGCCGAAATGTCGGTGGGTGTAGTAGGAGCATCGGCCTTTAAATCCACATATTTGCCGTCTTTGACGAATTTCATGGTGAGTTTTGTGTAATCAGTCACAATGGGGCCCAGTGTCTTAAGCCATTGGATACCCAAAATGACATCAGCATCACTAATGGGCAACACGTGGAGATCCAAGGTGAAAGAATGACCCTGCAACATCAAATTCACATTTCTACAAATTGTGGCACCCAATCTCTGATCCATTGCCTACCATGACACGTAAGGAATTAGTGGACTTAGTTGCAAGAGATAGAAAACGAGCCACTCTCTCTTGCACAAAGTTGTGTGTACTACCACCGTCCACCAAGACTGTAATGGGCTGCTTAGCAATCTGACCAATTAAGCGGAGTGTTTCAGGAGTCGGAAGGCCTGTAAGTGCATTGAAGCTAATTTGAGCCTCAGATGATCTAGGCGCCCCGTCCGACAACCATAACGATGCCGGGTCAAAACCCAAAAGATCAAAAACCTCCTCATTGTCCTCTGCTTCGGCAATAAGAAGGGAGAAGCGAGCCTTACACTTATGCCCAGGGCTGAACTTCTCGTCACAACTATAACAAAGTCCTTTCTCACGGCGGGTGGGCATTTCTGCATGAGTGAGCTTTTTGTAGTTGGTCCTTGGGGGAGTGGGCAACAATGGTGGTAAAGGCCATGATTGCGGTGATACCGTAATGGTGGGTGCCGCAAAAGAAGGATTGCGGAGAGAGCCTTTATAGCGGCTCTGGTCAGCAAACTTATCTTCCTATAACTTGGCTAAAGCGGTTGTCTGAGATAGAGAAATTGGTTGCAATGCTTGTACCTCACGATGAATATCAAGGGTTAAACCAGAAACAAAGCAACTTAAAAGGAAAGAAGGGGGCAATCCCACAATATGGTTGGCTAGACACTCAAACTCGATGAGATAGTCATTAACAGTACCTGTTTGGGTGAGTTTGAAAAGGGCACCCTTTGGATCATCGTAGTAGGAGGCAAAACGAGTTTCAAGCGCATGCAACAAATTTGGCCAAGATGTAATCATTCCGATACAGTGCATCCATTGGTACCAACAGAGGGCAGGACCATCTATGTAAAAGGACACTATTTTGATACAGTCAACATCGGAAGTGTCATGGCACTCAAAATACTGAGAGATTTTGAAGATCCAACCGGAGGCATCAGAACCGTCAAAGCGTGGTACGTCGAGCTTCATGCGGGGGGTGAAGGAAGAATTATGGGGTGGATGAGGACGAGAAGTCTCGACGGTGGATATTTGAGTGATGAGGTGGTCAAGTTGGGTTTTGAGGGCATCGTGGTTTGCAGTAAGGATAGATTGATTTTAGGTTAATTTGATAATAGCTTCCTCCATTTTCTTAGAATAAACTTTAGAACGAGTGACGATCTCAGACATGAAAATAACAACGAAAGCACCAAGTTGATAGAAAAAAACTCCCTTGATTCAAGGTCAAGGCTACCTCCTAGAATTGAGGGAGAAAAGGGAAGATGGAAATAACTTTCTGGTTCCTTCCTATCATTCATTCAACGAATATATACAAAGTATGAACTACCAATGATTGGCTAGCCATATTCTAGGGAAATGCAAAACAACCAAAGGAATAATTCCTCAACAGAACCAATAACTAAGGTACACCTCACAACGTAAAGATTTCCCTCACAACGGTCTTATTTTATTGTTGATAATCTTTGAGGTAGGATGGTTTCTTACGCATCCTCTTGGTCTTGGGCTCTTCATTAGTTTCATCCCAAATCTCTTGCTCTGCTGGTAGCCCATCATTTCTAACACATACATTACCTACCAAAAACCATCAACAACGACAAATATCTGCCTAAAAAAGTTGGTGGTGAAATGTACTCGCCAGAAAAACATCAGTAGTGAACAGTATATACTAGAGAAACATCAGTGGTGGACAGTATCAGCTGGAAAAACATTGATGGTGAATTGTATCCACCAGAAAATCATCAGAAATGAATATCCACCGAAAAAATATTGACAGCAAAAATATTTTCTGAAAAAACATTAACGATGAATGATTACTTCCAGAAACACATCGGCAATAAACAGTAGCTGCCAGAAAAATGTGGGTAGTAACCAGTAACCTGGTAGCAGTACCACTAGACAAATGTCAGTGTTAAAAAGTAATCTGTCACAAAAAAATTGGCTGTGAAAACTGTACACACCAAAAAGACATAGGTTTGCGAATAGTACAACTGCAGGAAAAACACTGACAGTGAATAGTAGCCACCAGATTATCGTTGACTGTGAACAACGATGGCAGGAGAAAAAAGAAAGCAAAAAATGTACATGGTTTTGAAAAATAATTTACACCTATAAGTGGTGAGCCCACAAGGAAAGCACAAATTTGGGTTCACTTATTCGGTTCAATATACCTTCAAAAAATTAGTGACTAAACAGGTCACAGAAGATGGTACCACTCAAATACCATGTTGAGAAGAAAGAAACCGAGAAGGAATATAATAAATTGTGTTATGTACACATGTGTAATCTTAATAAGGAATACAGTTAATCTATAATAATGGGAAATATTTGGGAAGATATTTTCCTTTCAAATCATATATCTAACATAACATATCTCTAACAACTATGATTGGAAAGGAATTCTGTTATTCTCAAATATAGTTTTAGATATCACCTCTTTCATCCCATATACCAACCTTGTTTGGCCCCTGAATTTTTGGGATTCATCAAAACATTTATAACAGGATTTACATCCGAATCCTACTTAATATCATTTATTTCAGTTACAGGTCCTCTTCTCTAAGACTACATATGAAATGAGGTGTACAAGAAAATTCAAGAAATTTAACAGACTAACAGTTAATGTATCCAATGAAAGAATTAGGAAGGATGAAAACAAAATCTGGTTAAAGAATACCAAAATTTTATACCCCAGGTAAATTTGTCACAAGCCAGAAGTGCAATGAGAAAGTCCTGACATAACATGCACAATATTTGCTCGTGATCAAACATGGGAGTGTTTGGTCTACAGTACCTGTGTAGAGATGATATGAAGCTTCGGACCCATGAAACTAAACTGCAGAGAAGGCGAAGCAGTCTTTCTACGCTGATGCCTGAGTGGCAGCTCGCAAAACATGGGTGCCCATTGCCTTGGAATTTGAAACTCCAAAAAGTATTGTAAATCATCAGGAGAAGGCTTATCTGCAGAAAGTATGTGAATCAATAGTGTTGTCTACGTCAACAATAAAGAAATTAGACAGTGCTCTGTGCAAGGTAAAATATATAAATTGTTTGAAGGCATAAAATGGATTTGGATATGTAGTAGATTATAGACACAATGTTTAATCAGATTAGAACATACAGCGTAGATATAGATTGATTGCATGACTAAGATATCCACTCCCAGGAATTCCTGTCAGAAGTGAGGAAATAGGAACAAACTTGAAGAGGATTGCTTCAGGGTTAGAAGGCACTGTCTGAAGCCAATTTGAGTGACTGTGTTTGAACATGTCTCCTCCTCTTTTTGAACAAATAATAGTGAGGCCCTGCTCCAAGATAAAAGAATATAGTCACAAACCTAGAACATCTTTCTATTTTAAATCAAAATTATTTCTCTTTTGTGGCTTACATCCTTGCTTGATGTTTCTGAAATACTAGTGAACTGCATTGTATTTGATTGCATCACACGGTTAAAGACCTCAGGGACCTACATGAATAGAGAGATTGTATCAACAAAAAAATAACAAATATGTTAAAAGTTACAGAAAATATAGCACTATACCTTCTGTTTCCCATCTGCCGTCTTCCCCTGTAGTAAAGAAGGGCTTCTCACATCTGAGAATAGAAAATCTCCAAGATCCTCCAAATGCCTCCTGAGATCACCAGGAGGAATCTTTGAAGAATGTTTTTGTTTGACGCAGATTACATCTTGACCTCCTACAGCCATACCCACTATTATGTGTGTACCATATGTCTGTATGAACCTGCCTAACAAAATTGATTAGCATCATATACTTATCAACACACAAACCATGTACTATTGAAACTGCCAACACAACTATTCGGTTTCACGCATAAAACATTAAATCATGACCGCAGAAACTAACATCGACTGAAACAGGTGGTACCGAGGAGAGTAGGAGACATGACTGTCTAAAAGGTAATTCGAGCCTCATGTGGAGAAGATAAGAAAATACTACATTCTTTTATCAACTGGGTTACTAAACTGTAACAAGTCCCACATTGGGGAGGTCTCCTTACCAGGGAGGCCTTATAAGGTAGGAGGTTCTCCAACTTCTTGAACTAGCTTTTGAGGGATGGTTCCCCTCTTAGCCTTATGGTTGTTACATTGGTGCTTTCATTGAGAGCCAGCCAACTCGAGAAGGGCTACCCACAGAGGGTTCTGACCGCCGGAGGGTTCTGACCACTGGAGGGTTCTGACCGGTAAGAAAGCCGAGTAAAGTGCTAGTGAGTGAAGTGCCGGTGAGTGAAGTGTCGTGGAGTGCAGCCATCGAGGACGCTGGCTTTCGAACGGGGTGGTATTGTAACAAGTCCCACATTGGGGAGGTCTCCTTACCAGGGAGGCCTTATAAGGTAGGAGGTTCTCCAACTTCTTGAGCTAGCTTTTGAGGGATGGTTCCCCTCTTAGCCTTATGGTTGTTACATAAACATACTAAATTTTTTAGGGATGGTCAAAATAATGAAAGCACAAAAACTAGCAACAAATTGAATATATCAAATTCAATCTCATTAGAACTTATAGAAAGTGAGAATAAACTATTTTTACACGAGGAAAACAAAGATACCACATTTGTCTATGTGCCAAAGATTGTTTTAGCCGCTTAGTGTTTTACCTAGACAATGAGGCTGGATCCCACTGAGCCGGAACAGATTTCTTTACCTCTTCTTGCAGTATGAGTGGAGAAGCAGTGAGGTGCAAATAGTAGAGTGAAATGAAATACCCATCAAAAGCAAGGTATTTAGTGTCAGCAGCATCACGAAACCAATCACCACTCAAATCAAAAAGCGCATTAAAATACCCAGAAGGAACTTTCCCCTGCACTGCCGATTTCTGATTAAGCAACTCCGACATCTGAAACAAGGAGAGAACCACGTACTTAACTAAACATGCACCAAAAATCACAGATCTTAATTCAAAACCAAAATCTGCTTCTTAGAACAGTAACATAAAGAGCAAAAGGAAAAGGGACCTGATTGAATTCAAGCACATCAGACTTGAAGCGTATTCTATCCCCTTTGTCGCACCGAATATTCTCAGAAACCTCTTTAATGGTAACTCCTCCAGTTCCAGGAATCAAGATGTCCCTCTTGTTCTGCTCATCAAGCACCACCAACCTCCCTCCACGAATCCCCTTTGCAAACCTCAACCGAAAATCACTAGCCATATCAAACCCTTTCCCCAGACATTCCAATGCCACCATCTCAACAGCCTTCTCCTCCGCCATCTTCCCAAACCCAAAATCAGTTCACTGATTCCAAACAAAAAAAGAAAAAAAGAAAACACAGAGAAAGAGACAGAGAGCGAGAAGGGTGTTGGCTTTGGTTTAAGGTTACGGTGCCAACCAACCCCAATTCAAACGGGATAGCTATGCCATGTGGGGTGTGGGCCAAAACAGGAAAGATGTTATCTTTGGTGGTTTTTTCGGAAATGGGTATTGTTAGATGTGGATGGAAGTTTCGGAGAAGACGATGAGATCAGTGAACGTTACGCAGCTTTTAATGAGGAAAGATAAGAAAAAAAAAAAAAGAGCACTTAGGTTTGATTAGGGATAGAAGAAGAGTAGAGAGGAAGTAGCTAGCTGCTATGCAATGCAAGTGCAAGCAAAGGGTTGAATTGAATGTAATTTTTGGAGTTTGACTGTGTCAGTTGTATCATTGTGAAAGTAGCAATGAGATGGGGAAAGAATTATATTTATGTATGTTTGAAAACAATGGGGAACACTCATTCAACTCAAGCCTGTGATGATGCATCATTTTGCCGTTACTTTACTCTTCTCTCTTTCATTGGACTTTACCTACTACTTATGCTTTATTATTTCACCGGTTTGGACTATTCTCTAATAAAAACACTTACATGCAACAACGGAAGGGAAAAGGGGACCAGTCTCCCATGTTTCTTCATCTGTCTGATCAAGGACACGGGACACACATTTGAAATATGGGCCCTTTCTTTTTTTGCCTAACCGATAGAGTTTATACAGTTCTATATAAAATTCCCAATGCAACCGTGATTTTTCTTAACTATTATTTACTACATTACTTCTGTGTTTGTATATTTTAAGCAGTGTAAAACTTTTGTTTAATGGATTAAAAAAACATCACGTCATTCAATATATATAATATATATATATATATATATATATATATATATATATATATATATATATATATTTTACCACATGATTCACGTTGGAAAGTCAAAATAGTAACTTCAATTTTAAATTTAAAATTACTAAGTAAACTGGAATTGATATTGCAAAGGTAAAAATCAAAGACAAGCAGTAAATAAGTTGGTCTCGTTGTGACATTTCTGTGTGAATAATGTAATAATGTATGATAAATAGTTCCACAAAATTGAATGAGGACACTGTCTGGACTGCACCGAAGAGAACCCAATAGACCAATATCCTCACAATACCAAAATCTTATTAGAGATAAAACCAAAATCAATTTTTAGAAAATAACATTATTTTCCCAGTGTAAAAGATTTTTCGGAAATAATATATAATCAAATTTTTTACAAAAATAATATTGTAAATGAAAATTTAACTCTTTTAAGTTGAAATAACTTTTTAATGAAAAAATTACCATCTATATTTATATATAAAAAACTTGGAGAAGAAACTTAAAATACTTATTGAAACTAATAAATACAATAATAATAATTATTATTATTATTATTAATTATTTTATTGTATTTAAATGACAAAATTATCCGTTTTACATGATAAAAAAATTTGGTAGTGACATGTACCTACAATTAAAATTTGACACGTAAACAATATTTTAAACGCATATATAACAAAACAAAAAAAAACGGTACTCACGTATATCTACGATAAAAATTTGATAACAATATTTTAAATGAATATATATAAGTAATAAATATATCTATTTTAATTATTTTATTGATAATAAAAATATTAGACTTTTCTCAACACTTTGATATAGTATAGTATGATTTTTTGGATTAAATAAAAAAAATTATGATTTAGATTCACATATGTTTTAAAAAAGACTATAAATTTTTCATTTTCTTTAGTATTCCCATAACTTTAGCACCCGATAATCTATGTTAAATGATTGAAATACTTTTTTATTAATTTTTGTTTGAAACTCTAAAAGTTTCTTCTCTTTAGCTCTTTTATTTCTTCATAGGTCCTATAATTTTGTTTTGCTATGATTTCATCTTTATTGAATATCGTTTTCTGTGCATGAGGTGAGAAATTATTAATATTTTGTATTTATTATATGAAAATAGGACTGAAAATGAATATAGGGATCTAAACTACTCTATCCATTTTTGAACCTGAAAGTGATTTCTACAACACTTAATTCATAATTCATTTTGGGAAGAACTAATCCAAAAATGTGTTCCTGATTAGATGTTTCAGAATGTATTTTTGGATTGGTTGTTTCTGAAATACATTTCGAATTGTGTATTTTGAAATATATGTAATAAATTATTGTTAGATTATTTTAATCTAATATTGACTTATGTAATTCATAAAATAACTTTAATATAAAGGTTTTCAATGTGATTATTAGATTATAAATGTATTAAAGTTATAGAAATTATTTAGAGTTATTAAAATTATTTTCCTCTTTTCTTACTCCATTAAGAGTATTATGGTATTTTAATAAATCTTTTAAATAGACCACCTAGAAGTTACATTACTTTTCTGTGAAAGATTTAAAGTTATGTTCCTAAATAATATAAGGCAAGTGACTTTGATAAAAGAAGGGTTGTACTTGGACACATTTTATATCATCAAGAAAGTCATAAAAGAAAGAAAGAAAAGAGAAAATATTCATCAAGAGATCTTTTGTAATGGATTCATGTAAGTTCTTAAATACTTCTAATAATATATTTGTGAGAATCATAAATCCTAAGGTTCCTATGAAATAGAATAGTTTCTTAAATTGAATTAAAATATTTGAAACTACAAGTTAATATTGGTATCGGAGCCGGATTAGGAATTTATGATTCTCCATGAATGATGTTTTCTCAAAATTATAGAAACCCTAATTTAAAATTATGAAATTTAGGTTTATTTTTGAAATATGGTAAGTTGCAATTCCAATTGAAATTTTGGGGAATTTGTAATCATCAAAGTGATCAAATTTTAAGCTTTAATTAGTTCCAAAAGTAAAGTTGAATTATGTCAATTACCCTTGAAATTAAAGATGTTGAATTATGCATATGTTATTTGGTTTATGAGTTAATTCAATAAATAAGACATTTCTGGATTATCCAAAAGTAAATAATTGCTTATAACTAATAATATAAATGATTTATTTTCATTCATGTTAAGTTTATGTTTATCCAAAGATGTCATACATGTCAAAAATGATATATTTTATTGTCCATTGAAATGTATGTTATGGAAATTGAGTGTATTTATTTTACCAAAATAAAGTAAATACATGATTAAAGTTTATATATTTTGAATTCATTAAGTTTTCATAATATTGATGGATGAGTTTGTTTAAATGTGTGCAACTATGTCTAACATGGTTTCATTAGGCAACTGTTTGATTAAGTTTAATGGTTTAAATTATACTAATTGGAATGAAATGATCCAGTTTCAACTATGTTATGGATTTAGACCTTGTATTGATAATGGATGAAAAGCTTTCATCCATTACTGAGACCAATATAGAAGTTGAAAGGTCTTTAATGATGCTTGAAAGCAATCTAACATATTGACATTGAACTTGATGAGACTAACTATGGCTAAAAATGTCAAGCCATCTATGCCCAAAACTGATAATACTAAGAAATTCATGGAATTGGTTCATGATTTCTCACAATCTGACATTACTGACAAGTCGATTACGGGGAATGACAAGTGAGCTTACAAACAAAAGGTTTGGTTGGTCTCAATCAATTCATGATCATGTGATTGAAATGTCTAATCTAATAGCAAGGTTGAATTCCCTTCTTGCTGATTTGGCCAGTTCTGGGTGAATTATAACACCCTTAAAGAAAAATGGAACTTTCAGGAAGTTAAGGTTATGTTAGTTCAAGATGAAAGGAAAGAAAATGAAGGATGACCCTGTTCATCAAATGACTCATGATGGAGCTAGTGCTAGTAAGAACAAGCCGGGTAGAAAGGATAAGGACAAGGCCTAATTAAAGGTCAATGAAGGTAAAATCCATAAGGATAAGAAGTGTTACTTTTGTAATCAGAAAGGTCACTTAAGATTGCCTAAAAAGGAATAAATGGTTTGAAAAGAAAGGTATATTTTATATATCTGTAAATTTTGAATCAAATCGTGTTGAAGTACCTAAGAATACCTAGTGGCTTGATTTTGGTGCAACTACCCATGTGTCACATATTTTGCAGGAATTCATTTTGATCAAAATCGTAAGAGGAAATGAAAATTTTCTCTTTATGGGAAACAAAATGAAAGCAAGGAAAGAGGTAATTGGGACATATAGATTGATCTTAGATATTGGACGCCATATATATTTGGAAGGATGTCTATGTACCTAGATGTGCTAGAAATTTAGTTTCTATTGCAAAGTTGGATAGATTAGGATTTCATTTCAAAATTGGACACAATGTGTTTTCTTTGTTTAAAGACATGTGTTGTTAATGATATGGTACTTTAATTGATGGTTTATATTGTTTCAATCTTGATGTTCAGTTTATGGAATCCTTGTGTTAATGTTGACTATGTTTGTAGTAAGTGTGATGTGCATGATAATAATTCAACTTATTTGTGACATAAATGATTAGGTCACATATCCAAGGAAAGAATAATGATATTAATGAAAAATGATATTTTACCTCAATTGAATTTTGGTGACTGGGATATATGTTTGGATTATATTAAATAAAAGCAAAATAAACAAATATTCAAGAATTCTGCTATGAAAAGCAATGAACTTTTAGGATTAATACACATTGATATTTGTGGACCCTTTGACATTCCATCTTGGAGTGGTGAAAAGTATGTATCACCTTTATAGATGATTTTTCACATTTTTGTTATTTGTATCTTTTGCATGAAAAATCTCAATCAGTGGACATCCTATAAAGGTGTTCACTGATGAGGTAGAAAGGCAGTTGTTGACAATTCAAGGACTTGATGTTGCACTTGATGAATATGAAGAATGGATTTTGATGATGATCCAAGAACTAAAGACTTAGAATATTGAAGATTGAAGATTGGTGATAATTGTATTGTAATAACTCTATTTTATTTAAGATTGAGT